TGACCTATCTTTAATGTGATCAATTTCAGCTGAAAGTTTTCTCACAATATTTTATTTTGAATATTTCCATATTACTATTTTTTTGGGGGATATGGTATAATTTTTTACCCTTCTAATAATACCATTTTGAAAGAGTTTTGAATAAAAGCTGTTTGAATAATAGGTAAAAAAAATAATGGATGATTTCTGGGTTATTTTAGTATTATTTATAAACTATTTTAGTATTTATTAATATTTTGAATTGGAAAGGTAAAATGTTAAATGATGATTTCAATATTAAAGGGGTCATATAATGCCATTTTTGTACAAGCTATGAATCTTTAGGGTCTAAATTAAAAGTTTGTAATATACTTTAATTAAAAATTCTCATTAGTAATGTAAGAAAACACTTATTTTACTTGGTCAAAAACAGCTCTGTTTTCAGCACGCCGTTTCAGTGTATATGCCTTTAAATGATCATGAGCTGCGCTCACCCCGCCTCTCTGTTCTGTGCGTACACCGTTTGTAACACAATAACACAATAACCATAACGCGTTGTTCAGTATAAACGTGGGATTATGAATTATATTGAGAACATCATACATAGAAAACATGCAGTAATGTACCCTGAGTGTAAACCGACGCATTCATCGTGAAGCGTGCAGCTAGCGATTTGCAAAGATTAATATAAATATTAATATAAAGTTTAACAAAACGTTACACTCACTTCAGTTCTTCTGGAGGTTCAGCAGGAACACGAATAGCTGGTACCGATCCTTTTTTCATGAGCAGCTTCTTAGCAAAACCAGCTTTATACTGACCCTCCTCTTTATAAAGCAGTCTGGTGAGAAATGATTCGCGCAAACATGAAAGCATTGACGTTGCTCGTGGGGAATATTCCCTTCGAAAACAACTCAGCCACTGCGTCTTCAGCGGTTCGGATTTAGGAACATTAAAATGACTGTGTTCGTTATTACACCCAAGAACAGAACACCACAATCGCTTAGACGCCATTCTGCTCATAGACAGTGCTCCAGCATATCAACAATGACCGCGCCGGTCCGCGCGGACTATGATTGACAGCTGGCTCACGAGCGAGGGCGGGTCTGTGTTGAAACGCTCCTGTCAATCAACAATCGTGGGAGGGGCGTCCGACCGTGTGACGTCACAAAATCGAACGGCTCAATTTGAGGCAGGGGAAAACATATAAGGAGATTAAAACAAAACCACTGGATGGATTTTTATCGTTTTATGATGGTTGTGTACAGGCACTGCCAACACACATTTCAGTACAATCAACTTGTAAAAGTGCATGTACCATTATATTACACCTTTAATACTTACTAATTATTTTAGTATTATTTATTATACTATTATAGTATTTATTCATATTTTGAATTAGCTTTTATTCTTAAATTTCATTTTTTATTTTAATTTTAGTTCATTTTTGGTAACTTAATTATGTGATTTTGTCATTATTATTATTATTATTTAACTATTTCAATTTCACTTTAATTACATCTTTTTAAGTTTTAGTAATTGTAGAACTTCATTTCAGTTGCCAAGGAAACATGTGTCAGGTCTTGGGTGGTGAGTGAGGACTCAAGTGCAGAGTTTATGGGTTTTTAATGATAATAAAATAAAACAAAACACAAACAGACAACAAAAACTACCCCGAGGGGGAAAACAAGAGAGACTTGACTGAAGCACACAGCAGGGAAACACACAGTGTACATACAATGACGGCCCAGCAAAGGACTGAAAACACAAGGAGAATTAATAGGGAGAGCAAACAAAGCAGGCAACAATGAAGGACAGGTGGGGCAAATTAATCAATAATCAGGTAACAAGATGGGAGGGGCTAGACAATCGACAGGAGAGCACATGTCCACAAATCACAAGCCAATTGCTCACACAGCCAATGAGAACACTCATAAGCCACGTGTTCACACAAAACATGACAACGTGAAGCACACAGCTAGTGAAAACACAAGCTGCGTGCTACACACACAGCACAAGACAAAACATGACATGAAAGTACATGAAACAGATCACACAGACAAGACAAAGAAGTGTCAGGGCTCTGTCAAAAAAACAAGAAATAGACTAGACAGAAGTGACAGAACCCTGACATGTTTAGTTCAATTTTATTTCAGCCTTATATCCGTTAATAGTTTTAATTTTAGTTTTAGTCAATTATAATAATATCATTGTGTCAGTTGACTGAACTCCAATGAACACAGTTTGCCGTATTTAAATAATCGATTCAACCAATTTTTCAAATATACTATAGTATCACCATGGCAATACCATGATAATTGGTTGAATAATCTTGAAATATTATGTTAATACCATGGTACATGAATATGGCAATCCTTCAGTACCATGGTACATAAGAAGACAGACTAAATAAAGGAGGAGACTTGAACAACTAATGTGCAAAGGTCAATATATGGCAGCCATAAGAATGGCCAAGAGCCAATCACCTTTTGACAGAGGCTTCAGCTGCTAAGATAAAGCACAACCTGATTTATATGTTATTGATCATAATCTAGACACAGTTTTGGAGATGTTGGTCTTTACTCTTTAGTGTATTTGTATCCTGGAAAATAGGCTTTTGGGGGTGTATTCAAGATGATGTGGACTGACTAGATATTTCCAATTACTATCATATGGTATCAAGTTTAAGTAAATCAGTACAAAAAAGTGAAAAAAGTGTGGTTAGTTACAGGACATCAGACCACCTCTGTCTCTACAGATTGGGTAATGTTTGGTGTTTGTGTGTGTAAACCAAGACAGATGCTTCAGTGGTTTCTCTGTGACGCATCAGGAAGTGTGTGTTTAAGTGTGATTGAGCATGTGTTTGTATGTGTGTGTGTTTACTAGGGGGCTAACTGGGAAGTTTGTTAGAGTGAAGCTGTGTATGTAAGATCTCAGATGAGTGTTTACACGCCGGTTTACCTGAGCCTCATGCGCTGTTAGACACCTAATGGAAAGATTAACTGGGTGAACCGAGATCACCACAGAGACCCATTGATTCCCATGACAGGCTGAAAATAGATTAAAATCCCTTCTTCAACTTCTAATTAATCTTTTAATGATCTGCTGCCTCATCGTCCACAGGCTGACAATTACAGCAAAATCAATGTTGTGTTTTAGAATAACATTATGTGGAACTGCTGCAGGTCCTGGAAGAGGTCCAGTCATTTACAACGATGAGAGATGGAGGTTAATTAGATTAGAAATAGCAGAACTAACACATCAGGAGAAGATGAAGCGGTCTCTCTGCTGCTCACAGTGGATCTGTCTGTCTAGCTTATCTTTTTATCTGGATGTCAATCTGTTTTCTTTCTGTTCTGGAAGTTTTTTTTAATCTGTTATCTGTGTTTCCATCGTTTACTCTTCCATATGTAATTCCAAACCCATTTTACTTTCTTCCCTGCGATGCAAAAGGATTTTCCCCCGAAGAATTAGGCCTGTTCACACCAATAACTATAATGATTATCATAGTTGATCCGTACGAACCAGGCCCCGCGGTCCGAAACACATGTGATTCGCGGATTAATTGCATTTAAAGATTATATAGTGAAAGTTTATTATTTGCACGTGTTAGCCAATTTAAAACACTCAAGCGTTTTTACACAATTCAAATGCATGAAGAGGCAAAAGAGATATCGATTTGCAATCGCGCGCTGTTTTCTGTGCGCACACACTCAAAGCACACACGCTCACTGAGGCGCTTTTCAGATACATATAATCGAGACTCCTTGATCTTGAACGAACACATACACACAAAATTATCGACAAGTGTTCCAGTCGGTTATAGTGAACGTAAAGTTGCTAAAGAAATCGAATGTGTTTCATGATATTGGTTCCGTGCATTTACTGACTGCAGCCTAAAAATAACTACTACTGTATGTCATTAATTGTCAAACTGATGAATGAAAAAAACATTGACAGCCAATCAGAACCCATCTTTCTTTAAAGAGCTCAAGCATTTACAGTGGCAGACCACAAAACTCCAGCGCATGCTAATAAACAAAACAATATCGTCTGATAATATAGTTATCGTTATAGTTATCGCCCTTGATGGTGTGAACAGCCTTTATACTAGTCGCTCAGTTAAAAGGTTAGTCACCCCAAAATGAAAATTCTGTCAGTAATTACTCTCCCTCATGTTGTTCCAACCCCGTAAGACTTTCGTTCATCTTTGGAACACAAATTAAGATATTTTTGATTAAATCTGAGAGCTGGATCACTCCTCCATAGGCTTCTATTGTAATTAAAACCTGCCGGCCCAGAAGGTTATTAAAGACATCGGTAAAATAGTCCGAGTGACTACAGTGGCTCAATCTTACGTTTATCAAGCGACTAGAATACTTTTTGTGCGCAAAAAAACAAACAAAAATAACGACTTTATTCAACTATTCATTTTCTTCTCTGTGGGGCGTGGGATTTCACGTAGTGAAACTGCGCAAAGCTTCTAGGTTGTACGTCACACGCATCACACACATGACCAGCGTCGGCCAATCATGAGCCTACGTGTGACGTACAACACAGAAGCTTTGCGCAATATCACTACGTGAAATCTCACGCCCCACAGAGAAGAAAATGAATAGTTGAATAAAGTCGTTATTTTTGTTTGTTTTTTGCGCACAAAAAGTATTCTCGTCGCTTGATAAACTTAAGGTTGAGCCACTGTAGTCACTCGGACTATTTTAACGATGTCTTTCATAACTTTTGGGCCGGCCAGTTTTGATCCCTTAAGAAGCCTATTGAGGAGTGATCCAGCTCTCAGATTTCATCAAAAATATCTTAATTTGTGTTCTGAAGATGAACAAAAGTCTTACGGGGTTGGAACAACATGAGGGCGAGTAATTACTGACAGAGTTTACATTTTGGGGTGAACTAACCCTTTAATAATAGAGACTGAGGCTTTCAAGCTTCAACAAGTCAATATTTTTTCCAAGATTCCAATTTTAATAACATGATGATTTTTTTTCCATCTCTCGTCTCGTCAGGACCCTCTCACTTTTCCTAAGTTCGGGAGTGGTTGTTGCGGTAACCATGACAGGACCACTGTCCTTCGCTGGACTTGTCTTCCTCCGCCTCCTCTCTTTGCCTCTCGTCACGTCACAGACGCCATCACTCCCAGCGACCTCTGACCCCGAGCCTGTGCCCTCTCTGCCTGAAGAGTGCCGGAGAAAAATGCACCCTGTTACCTCCTACACAGGTGGGTGTAAAATACCTCGCTCTCTCCTGCCCTTTTCATCACTCGCTTTTGGAGCCAAAGGTCAAAACGATAAGCTTTTGAATTTTTTCCCCCCAAACATCTCGGTGCAGTGTGTCGAGCTTGTAAAAACTGTTTCTGTTTGCATCTAGACCAGAAGAGACCATCTAAGTGAAACCGCAGACAGCATAAGGAGGATAAAATGATAAAATCAGAGAAATTAATGGGAGAAATCACATTGCTCAATTTGGCGGCTGTAACCTTCAGATACAAGAACCTTTTTAAAAAAAAAGACATCACTTGCGTTTTATTCTACACAGATGCATAGACCATATTTATTCCCCAGGAATGCATTATATTAATCAAAAGTGACAGTAAAGAGATTCATAATGATTTCCGAGGGATCTGTTATTTTCATCATTTTTAACTATAATGATATTTCACAATATTTTACTGTATTTTTGATCAAGTAAATGTGATAATAAATGGCCTTGGTGAGAATAAGAGATTTCTTTCATAAACTTTAAAAAAACGGATCCCAAACTAGTGACATGATTTAGACTAAAGAAGTTTATGGCACAGAGTTTTTGTTGAATTTTATTTATTTATGTATTAGCTTATGCCAATATGCCCAGCAAGTGAACAGATTTGCCTTACTTTAAAGCAACACCAAGTAACTTTTCCTCTGTGGTCGCCCTACAGGTTGGAAGCGTAATTGTCGTAAATAATTTAGCCTACCGCAGCCTACTGTTGCACGCACGCACACACACACATGGTCTCTGTTTATCCAGCACCGGCTTTGGAATCATGATGACAATTCAAAAGCTACCCGGCTGCTAGGTATCTTACATGTAGTTGTGGTCTACTGTCGAGTAGGCTCCACCTATCGGCAATTGGAACGCTTGCCGTAAAGCAAGTCAAATTTGTAGTTTTCTTATGTCTCATTCGGACTACAGAAACGCGACCCGATCTGGCAATCTTACATAGCGTGGATATATCAGATAAAGGACCGCAAAGCGGTGGCATAAGTGCATTTCACCATGTCACGACTTGATGAACCACTGAAACGATTTTGAAAACATTATTTTAAGGTAAGAAATCTTACTTAGTGTTGCTTTAAAGAGACCAATCTCGCTTCCTTTGTTAAAAAGTGTGCACTTTGTCTCTTGGAAAGTGCGCCAGTCAATCAGATTAGAGCTCTCTGTTTTGAGAAAACACCCTTTGTATGGATAATACATCAGTCCGTTCATTAATGGTCTGTTGCCGATCCAGTGTATGTTTTCATCTGAGACTAGTTAACTGCCAGCAGTTTTCTTTTAATCATATGCTGCCCAGATGTTAAAGGTTAACACAGCTGTGTGTAATATCAGGACTGGAGTATGTTCACACCCTGCAGTTTCTAATATCACACACAGTCTGCCCTGTTAATATGCAAGGCTACACTGTGTTTACGTCTTATAATTCCTCCATTACACAAGTGTTAGTAAATTGCACTAGTAGCTGATGTACTATTAAATACATTAGGAGACCCATAGATTAACATACAATCTGGGAATAAGAATAATAAGTCTAAAAGTGAAGATGTCAACAAACTTTAAATGCACGAACTTATCACCAGATAGAGAACGTTTCTAATTGGCTAAATGTTCTGATTGGCAAACAAGCACTGGCGTTTTTGCTGTTGTAGCCTATGTAATATTAGGCTGTCACATAACATTTTTATGTGTGATATTCCAAAATAACCTTTAAGTGACCAAATACTTTTTAGGCCTTCTGTATCTTCTCCTTTACCTCCAACAAGAAGCCCAGCAGCCAATGGCATTGTCTTCACTGACGTTTATTGAAGTCAAGATGTTTGGCGATACACATACAGATCACTAAAACGTTTCGAAAAGAAGTATTGTGAAAGGTTGCAAAGGTTGTATTTAAAGTTTCACAAGAATTTGCCAGCTATTCATTCACCTCCTCCCAGCCTTTCTGTATGTGGGGTGTGTTGTTCTCTCATTTGTGGCTGATGTTGTGACTGGCGTCTGGTTTCACACCTCATTAATGGTCCAGTGTGTGTGGTTTGGACTCCCAGGCGTCGCTTTCCCTTGTCTCTCTCAATGTTTCTCTTAAACAGGACAACATTAAGTATCTTCACACATACAGCTGGAGTTCCCCAGGTTGCTAGCAGCTGTTTCTGCCTCTGAATGCACGATTGTTGGTGGGCTCGGTAACTTAAAAAAATCTGATTATACACTACAGCCCAAAAGTCAGGGTCAGTGAGAGTACATGCATGTATTAATGTTACAAAAGATTTCCATTTCAAATAAATGCTGTTCTTTTTAACTTTCTATTCATCAAAGAATCCTGAAATATATCAGTTTCAACAAAATTATTAAGCAAAAATGTTGTTAAACACACTTAAAATGTTGATCCAATGTTTTAACTTTGAAAACAATAAGAAAAGTTTCTTAAAAACAAAATCCGAATATTTCAATGATTTTCTGAAGGATCATGTGACACTGAAGACTGGAGTAATGATGCTGAAAATCCAGCTTTGATCACAGGAATAAATTACATTTCACAATAAATTCAAATAGAAAAAAGTTATTTTAAATAAATACATTTAAATAATTTTTTGAACAAATAAATGCAGCCTTGGAGAGCATAAAACATTATTTCAAAAACATTAAATCTTACTGACCCAAAACTTTCAAATGGTGTAGAAATATGAATATATATTTTGTAAGAATATGTAATTATAAGCAAAGTCTATTTTTGCACTATTTCCATGAAAATCCCCCAACCCAATTCACATTCACAATTTATTTGGATAAAAATGTTTGCTAAATGACAAAAGGTAAATGTAAATATCATTACTGTAAAGTAAAAAAGGTACCGGTATATTATTTCAATTGTAAAGTATAGATTAAAGTATATTTGTAGTACTGCCTTGAATTTATGTTGATTTATATTTAACTAAATGTTACTATATATTCACATAGAAAACAGTTATTTTAAATTTTAATAATATTTCACAATGTTACTGTTTTTTTTAACTGTATTTCAAATAAAATAACTGCAGCTTTGGTGAGCAGAAGAGCTTCAAACCGTTAAACAATCTTACCAATCATAACTTTTGAACGATAGTGTACAGTTGATGTCAGTAACTAAGATGTCATTCTTCACATTATGCAGGGAAATGGTTGTTTGCATGTAAATGTCATCAGTGGATAATGCATCTTATCATGAACAAGATTATTAATGCATGAATCAGACTCACGCAGAATCTTCACAGTTCCTGACACAGTTTGCTAAACATCAACACATAAACATTGTGTGTGTGCAGAGACAAATCACACAGAACAGTGCAATCGCTCACAGCAACATGCAGAGGAAATGCTGATAGTCGCCACATTATCATTTGTATAGAGTTAACTTGTGGGATTAGTTTTGCACATGTTCTTCAACATCTGTCTAAACAGTGGAAAACAGCAGCTAAACAACAGATCGCACGTCCAGACTCACAGTTAACTGTGTAAATGTCACCTGTGGCTCTTTTCTGCCGCAGCTTTGAGCCCGTGGCTGTCCTCTTTCTCTCTGCCTGGAGTGAACGACTACTCGCCGCTCGCACTCGACCTCACCAGGAACCAGCTGATAGTGGGAGCCAGGTAACACACACACACACACACACACACATGTCTGGTTTACTATCTTTGTGAGGACTCTCCATAGACGTAATGGTTTTTATACTGTGCAAACTGTATATTCTGTCCCCTTACACTAACCCTACCCTTAAACCTACCCATCACAGGAAACATTCTGCATTTTTACATTTTCAAAAAAAATAATTCTGTATGATTTATAAGCGTGTTTACCCATGGGGACCTCAATTTAGGTCCCCACAGTGACACGAATCCCCATGAGTCCGTGTGCATTCAGGTTTAAGTCCCCACCGGGATAGAAAAACATGTACACACACACACGCGCGTGCGCACACACACACACACACACACACACACACACACACACACACACACACACACACACACACACACACACACACACACACACCTGTCAAACCTAAAATATCTCTCTTTCTCTCTGTAGGAATCATCTCTTCCGGTTGAGTTTGAGCAACATCTCTCTCCTGCAGGTACTACTTTCTCTTTCTCTTCATACTCCTTCCCATCTGTCCATTCAATCATCTTGACATCTCTAGAAATGCAGAACCAGCACTGTCCATTTAATTCTTCTCATGCCAGACACGCACAGACTCAGTCTTTTATTATGATTGTCCACATGTTCAAAAGTGCCGACGCACAGAAGCTGAAATATCACACACACACACACACACACACAAACACACACACACACACACACCTTCAGTAGCATGTTATTGTGCAGATGTTTGAGAAGCATTGACTTCCAAGACAGCTGTGTCCTGATTTGACCTCCTCTCCTCTGAATCTCTTGAAAGGAGGAACCCAAAATAATATACAGATATATATACACTCACCGGCCACTTTATTAGGTACACCTGTCCAACTGCTCGTTAACACTTAATTTCTAAGCAGCCAATCACATGGCGGCAACTCAGTGCATTTAGGCATGTAGACATGGTCAAGACAATCTCCTGCAGTTCAAACCGAGCATCAGTATGGGGAAGAAAGTTGATTTGAGTGACTTTGAACGTGGCATGATTGTTGGTGCCAGAAGGGCTGGTCTGAGTATTTCAGAAACTGCTAATCTACTGGGATTTTCACGCACAACCATCTCTAGGGTTTACAGAGAATGGTCCGAAAAAGAAAAAACATCCAGTGAGCGGCAGTTCTGTGGGCGGAAATGCCTTGTTGATGCCAGAGGTCAGAGGAGAATGGCCAGACTGGTTCGAGCTGATAGAAGGGCAACAGTGACTGAAATAACCACTCGTTACAACCGAGGTATGCAGCAAAGCATTTGTGAAGCCACAACACGCACAACCTTGAGGCGGATGGGCTACAACAGCAGAAGACTCCACCGGGTACCACTCATCTCCACTACAAATAGGAAAAAGAGGCTACAATTTGCAAGAGCTCACCAAAATTGAACAGTTGAAGACTGGAAAAATGTTGCCTGGTCTGATGAGTCTCGATTTCTGTTGAGACATTCAGATGTTAGAGTCAGAATTTGGCGTAAACAGAATGAGAACATGGAACCATAATGCCTTGTTACCACTGTGCAGGCTGGTGGTGGTGGTGTAATGGTGTGGGGGATGTTTTCCTGGCACACTTTAGGCCCCTTAGTGCCAATTGGGCATCGTTTAAATGCCACGGCCTACCTGAGCATTGTTTCTGACCATGTCCATCCCTTTATGGCCACCATGTACCCATCCTCTGATGGCTACTTCCACCATGTCACAAAGCTCTAATCATTTCAAATTGGTTTCTTGAACATGACAATGAGTTCACTGTACTAAAATGGCCTCCACAGTCACCAGATCTCAACCCAATAGAGCATCTTTGGGATGTGGTGGAACGGGAGATTCGCATCATGGATGTGCAGCCGACAAATCTGCGGCAACTGTGTGATGCCATCATGTCAATATGGACCAAACTCCCTGAGGAATGCTTCCAGCACCTTGTTGAATCTATGCCACGAAGAATTGAGGCAGTTCTGAAGGCAAAAGGGGGTCCAACCCGTTACTAGCATGGGGTACCTAATAAAGTGGCCGGTGAGTGTATATATATAAAAAAATATTATTTTATTTTAATTGGAATTAAAAAATAAATTAAATCATAATTTTCTTTTCTTTGTGTATATGTTCATAATGATCAGACATTGGGTAGAAAATGTTTGGGAACAGGGTAATAATAAAATCTATTCATTACATATACATATATATATATTTGTTTTTGTTTATCAGGAATGAATTTATGGAATGAATGAGTTTATGAGGAATGAATGAGTTTATCATTATTTTTGGTGGAAGAAACCATCACTAGCAAATAAAGTGTAGATAGAATATGGTCCCTTCAGTATGCAGACATCTGTACTCGTATGTGTGTCTGCTGTGTTTGAGGTGAGACAGCAATCTCATCTGGGAGTGGCTTCAAATTGGCGTTGTTCATCTTCAAGGATGATTCGCATCCACTTACTGTGTAACCACAGCTGCACCTACTGTGTGTTGGGAACACTGAGATTGTGTTGCGCTTGCGTGACATGCCTGTTGAAAGCTTTGAGTGGTTGTGTGATATTTAAGAGAGACTTTTCTGGTGTGTGTTAAAGACCCTGCTGGTGAACTCTATAAACGTTCACCGTAACCCTGAGAGGGGGTGTGATGCCCTGGAGGAAGACCGCTAAAGAATCTGTCAGAATCCAGTGATTTAGGGTGACCCCGTGACCCTGTGTCCACAAGAGTGACCCCTCGAGCAAACACACACTCAAACACACACATGGCAGTATGACAAGCTCCTCACTGCGGTCCTGTACATCTCTGTTATGAAAAAAATCATCTCGAATCATCATTCATTCTGCAAATGACATTTAAAAAAAGAATTAAATAAAAAGGCATAATCCTTTGCTAAGATCATTTCATAGCTTTTTATGTATCCTAAACTCACACAATTAAAAATGAATTAAATGTCAAAATTACAGCTTGAGTGGAAATGACACAAAATGAAAAAAAAAAAATGCTTATAGACTAGCTGTAATTTTGCTCAAAATTGATACATCATTTTTACTCAATAAGTATTTACTTTCTTATCTATTTTTTTTTTACTTTACTTTCACCACGCTGGGACATTTAAAATGTCTGAGGTAACACTCGCCTATAAACAAATTTGAAAAGTCCAATAATATGAAAATCACTGCTTAAAGTCAAGTCAAGTCATCTTCATTTATATAGCGCTTTTAACAATGGAGATTGTTTCAAAGCAGCTTTACAGAGATAAACATACAATTTACGGTAACAGAGATTGTTTTGGCTTCACACCGATTCTTGAACAATGTTACTTCCAGCCAAAGTTAGTTTTGACTGATTCACCTCCAGCAAAATGATCATTTGTTATTACAAATAAGACGACGGCGTTCTCTCTAAACAGACTTTAAACGCGAACCTGTGACCTGATGGCGTTCACATGCGCATTAAAAATTGATTCTATAGTAGAAGTTTCGAGATGCAGCCGTATTGAAGATGTGTGTAATCTGCAATCTGAGTTTAGAAAATAATGACTTTTCTAACTGATTTTCTGGAAAACTCACACTGTGTTTCATTAGTCAAACATACAGAACACCAAACTCTTCATTTTCTTCTCCAGACATTGACATTCAACAAGATTACATACATCAGCCACGTCAGTATATGAAAGATATGATAACAAGCAGTGTTGTGGAAAGTTACAAAGTAATGCATTACAATATTGCGTTAATCCCCTAAAGTATGTAATTGGATTACTTAGTTACTTTTTATAGAAAGTAATGCATTACTTTAGTCTAGAGCAATACAATAAGCATCATGTTCACACACAACACCTCTGACAGGAGAGCTGGCAGTCAATAAATAAGAAAACAAAGTTGCATTACTGATTTGAAAAAGTAACTCAGATATCTTGTTGTATATTTAAAAGTAGTGTGTTACTTTAGTTACTTGAAAGAAGTAATCTGACTACTTGTAATGCATTACCCCCCCCAACACTGATAACAAGAGGTTTGGATCTGTTGGATCTCATGTTAATGATTTATTATATCTCACTTGAAATATATCTGGTGTAATAATGGTTCTGCGTCAGCCGCTTCACTGTTGAGAGGAACAGATCGCAGAGAGAGATAGAGAGAGCAGATAACAGTGTTTTAGCTGAGGTCAAATGATCGTGACTGGTAGGGAAGACAAGGATGAGAAGATCTTGAGAAAAAACACACAACCCCCTCAACGTCCAGCGGTGACGCGAGTCTGACCCCGAGATCTTTTCAGGGTGAATCCTGCTCTTCAAATGAAGACGTCTTTCACGTGTTGTTCAGTGACTGACTGCAGAGACACGGTTAGATTGATGATTGCTTTCTGAAACCTCTCTTTGTTTCGCTCTTTCTCCTAAACAACAGGAATGAAATGTAGTCTGCTAAAGTCAAATGAACAGATGCAGTTTGTCAGAAGATGTGTAATCGGCTCCTTTGTAGATGGGTTTGTGCTCATCAGAAGCGCCTGGTGCTTTTCAAGAGTGTGGAAACACAGATGTCACTTATCATTTTCATTATTTTTTAAATGTTTTTTTTTTTTTAGTATATGCAATGTTGCTCTTAAAACTTCTCAAACTACCACTAAACAGCGAAAGCACTTAAAGTCCCCCTGTAGTCAATAATTGTATTCCTTAAAGGAGAACTCCGGCGCAAAATGAACCTTTGGTCTAATTACACATTGTTACCTAGTCAACCGTTATCTGAGATTTGTTTTCATGATTATCGAATGTAAATAGTTTTATCTCTAAAAACAGTTTAGCCTATAAAGCTAGTATAACGCTAGTATATTGGGCATAGTGTAATGACAAATAAAAATCGCTTGTTAATACCACTAACAAGGCTGAAAATAGACCCACACTAACACGGTAGCATAATGAGGGTCCCTACCTTCAAACCGAAGCATTGAGAACTTTGTCAGTGTCCAGACAGTTTAATAAGAAGATATTTTAAACATACAGTCAACTTCGCGTATACAGGTCGATCTACGAACCCCGATCCAAGTGCGCTGGTGAGAATGTGAACGAGCTATAAGTTGTGATAAGGTGAGCGCGAACAGTAGGCTTGGATCGGCGTTCGTAGATCGACTGGTAAAGACTGTATTTCAAAGATGGCTTCTGCCTGTATACGCGAAGTTGACTGTATGTTTAAAATATCTTCTTATTAAACTGTCTGGACACTGACAAAGTTCTCAATGCTTCGGTTTGAAGGTAGGGACCCTCATTATGCTACCGTGTTAGTGTGGGTCTATTTTCAGCCTTGTTAGTGGTATTAACAAGCGATTTTTATTTGTCATTGATCTATGCCCAATATACTAGCGTTATACTAGCTTTATAGGCTAAACTGTTTTTAGAGATAAAACTATTTACATTCGATAATCATGAAAACAAATCTCAGATAACGGTTGACTAGGTAACAATGTGTAATTAGACCAAAGGTTCATTTTGCGCCGGAGTTCTCCTTTAAAACTAATCTTTGATCACCAAAAAGACATATTTAAATGTTTTTTCTTGAAAAACAAATTCTTTATGCGTTAGAATAGCTTGAATGTAACTCGACACCCTTGCCTCATTTAGTACACGCGGTTCTGTGAATATGCAAATGAGCCCCGCCTCCACTCACTCACTCAGCTCAGAGATCCACTGGTTGACGATCACTCGTTGATCTGATTGGTTACAAGGTCGTTTGTGACGTCAGAAACACCAGCGATTTCAAACCGTGTTTTTGAGACTGTCTTTGGTTCACTGCAGTTTTAAGGAGAAAATACTCAGCAATGCTGTCGACTTATGAATTTACACATGGTTTGTCTTAAATCATATTAAAAACACCACATAGACACATAAACAACATTAAAAGCTTGATTTTCACCACAGGGGGACTTTAAAGAAAATAATTGATCCTACTCAGAATTGCATTTTTACAATATTTGCAAATGGCAATTGGAAGAAGATCACGATATTGTCAAACTCAATTGCTTCCATTAGTGTGTCTGTCTCTAAGCGCTCTGTCTACAGTGCTGTTTTACTATTTCTAGCTGTCAGTCATGCATATCGCGTCAGTTATTGCCTGTTTGCTGCTAAATTGTATGTGGAGCCATCAAAATTCTTGCAGTTGTAATGATTATGAGAGTTTTACTTTATCGTAATTTCGCTTTTTCCAATTCTCATTATTGTAATAGAGTAATTATTTTCTATAGTATGGTAAAAATGACTGTATAATACACAATGATATTTTAAATATAAATCAACATAAATTCAAGGCAGTACTACAAATATACTTTAATCTATACTTTACAATTTAAATTTTTTCCACTTTACAGTAATGATATTTACATTTACCTTTTGTCTTTTAGCAAACATTTTTATCCAAATAAATTGTGAATGGATTTTATTTTTGAGAATTGGGTTGGGGCTTAATTTTCATGGAAATAATGCAAAAATAGACTTTTCTTATAATTACATATTCTTAAAAAACATATATTCATATTTCTACACCATTTGAAAGTTGTGGGTCAGTAAGATTTTATGTTTTTGAAAGAATGTTTTATGCTCTCCAAGGCTGCATTTATTTGTTCAAAAATACAGTAAAAATTTTGAAATATTATTATTTATTTAAAATAACTTTTTTCTATTTGAATTTATTGTGAAATGTAATTTATTCCTGTGATCAAAGCTGAATTTTCAGCATCATTACTCCAGTCTTCAGTGTCACATGATCCTTCAGAAATCACTCTAATATGATGATTTGCTGCTGAAGATACATGTCTGATTAATGATTATTATCAATTTTGAAAGTATCAAGGTCATATTTGATCAATTTAATTTAAAAAACAAAACAATTTTAATTAGAGAAACAGGGACAGCATACAATGAACATTAACCTCAAGGGGAGAGATGCATAGTACCAGGTTTTAGCTCAAGAGCTAATTTCCACCCGTAGTCCCTGGGCAGGCTGATGTTATAATAAAATACATAATACATCATACATACATGAATAATGAAATTTACATTGACCAAATAAATAATTGCCAACTTGCCAAATTAAAAAAATCTTCACATGCACAATATCGGTCACATGTGGGTGCAGATTTGATTTGACAAAAGCCATTTCTTTGCCAGACGTGAGAACGTATAATTATAAGAATTTGTGCTTCTTATCGTCTCTATAGGCAACATATTCCACTGACGAGCAGCCACACAAGAAAAAGCATAGTTTCCAAATGCGGTCCTGCGTTTAGGGATCCTGCATTCGCCTCGCACTGTAGATCTAGTGGCTCGAGCTGTTTTTTTCAGAGCCCAAAGATATGAACTCTTTTAGTGGAGGAGCAGCATTTTCATGGATTTCAATGTAATGCATCCTTGCTAAATAAAAGTATTCATTTCTTTCAGCAACAAAACAAGTCTTACTGACCCAAACTTTTGAACTGTGGTGTATATTTTGATTTTGGGATGAAGTTTGACCCGGTTCACCCTAATGTGTGAAAGTGTGAGTTTAATAATCTAGATTTGACTGTGATATTCTTCCCCCGTTAATCTGTGAAGAGCTGTTTTATCTGTGACCTTTCCACTCCTCTCACTCTATTCAGGGTCTGCTGGGATCCTCACAAGGGTCACAACCAATACAAAATCATCGTTATTATTTCAATCTATAGTGTGTGTGTGTGTGTGTGTGAGAGAGACTCTGGTCTACATCATTATTTTTGAGGCAATGACAACACAGATAAACATGACAAAGCAGCCTGTGAAAGGAGAGGGAGGGACAAGGAACAAAAGAGAGGAAGAACGTCTAAAACCAGTGAAACCACACATTCAAGGGTTTTCGTTTCAGATAAGAGAACGAATGCGATTAGGACAAACCGTCCAGTGTTGCCTAATTAAATGTCACACAATTGCTCTTTCACACATCTGCCTCGCCATGGAGTCATATTGTGTATTTGCAGCGAAACTTTCCATTTTCCATCTCTTTGTCTTCTATTATTGTGTGTTTTGTACCTTCTTGACATTAAGGAAAGAAGCTGAGCGAATGGAAGAGCTTCCCACGACTGAATATCTTTCATAGTTTTACTGCATTAAGAGGATGTTCTGTTATTCTGCCTCCTTAAATGTAAATCAAAGTCAGAGGTTTGGATTTGTCGTCATGGCTGTTTAAAGGTTAAAGGAATGTTCACTTTAATGAGTTTGTTTGTTCGGACAGTTCGTTTAAATGAAACTGGCACAAGTAAACAATTTACGAATTTGTTTGAATCATCAGTAAACAGTAGTCCTTGTGTGACCTTTAACAATTTTTGTAATGAAATCAATATTTAAATGTTGTTTATTACTGTGTTTATCATTCCAATATGTCACCCACATCATTGATTCAGGCGAATCATTGAAAGGATTCCAGTTTTCTGATTTGCACAGGAAAGCTTGACTTTTAAACATCAGGGTGTTTCTTGTACATCCACATGCACACACTTGCTGCTCTGCTGTCTTAAAGGGATAGTTCACTTTGAAATTAATTTTTGGTTTGTTTTAGCTTACCTCAAGGGCATCCAAGATGTAGGTGTCTTTGTTTCCGCAGTAGTTTAAATTTTGATATTTTTAGGTCAAACCGTTCTTGTCTGTCAGTCATATAATGCAGGTCTATGGTCACCACCTCAAAGAGCATGCATAGAGAAGTCCAAATTAAACATGATTTAATGACTCGTAAATGTAAGTACACATTGATGGCCTAAGACACGAAACGAGCAGTTTGTGTGAGAAAACGAACAGTATTTATATCGTTTTTACCTCTTGTAACCACAGCCACGTCCAAGTGATCTGAGGGCGCCGGCGCTTCGGTCTGCGCAAGCGCCGGAAGTGATCTCTCGCGCGTGTACGTCACTCATTGTTTACACAGAGATTTCGGAAGTGTTACCTTTCACTGTAAAGATATAAACATATTTAGATATACAGGAAATCGCAATGGAAGACGATTTCGATATATCAACAGACAACGTTGAATTTTTTTCACAATGAGTGACTTACATACGCGAGAGATCACTTCCGGCGCTTGCGCAGACCGAAGCGCCCGCGCCCTCAGATCACTTGGACGTGGCTGTGGTTACAAGAGGTAAAAACGATATAAATACTGTTCGTTTTCTCACACAAACCGCTCGTTTCGTGTCTTAGGCCATCAGTGTGTACTTACATTTACGAGTCATTAAATCATGTTTAATTTAGACTTCTCTGTGCATGCTCTTTGAGGTGGTGACCATAGACCTGCATTATATGACTGACAGACAAGAACGGTTTGACCTAAAAATATCAAAATTGAAACTACTGCGGAAACAAAGACACCTACATCTTGGATGCCCTTGAGGTAAGCTAAAACTTACCAAAAATTAATTTCAAAGTGAACTATCACTTTAAGCAGACGCTCATGCTGATGTGTTAATGTGCTGAGCTCTGTCTGCACTATAAACAGACAAAGCGGCAACTCCACTGTGAGTTGTGACTGTTACAATGTGACTTGTTTCTGTAACATTGCTGCAAAGTGCTAATGTTATAGGTGTGCACTGTGCAGAAACCTTCAGATGCATCCGGACTGTTAAAGTGCTGTTTTATCATTTAAAGCAGGATTTCCAAACAGGTTTTGTCAGCTAAACCCCTTTAATGTAAAATTTTTACACTAATTTCAATAACCTTTTTGCATGTTCACGCTAGGGTTATTATAGTTACAAATAAAAATAAAACCATAAAAATAAATGTTTACTAAAATGAATCAAATATAAAAAGCAACATTTATATTAACTTAATGTAGGAGATTAACTAAAAGTAAAACTGAAATAAAAATTATGGAAAAAAAATATATAAATAAACTTCTCATTACTGTACTTCGAACATACTTTAATGTATAAATGCTTTACAATTTAAATAATATATCATTATTTTTTCACTTTACAGTAATGATATTTACAACTAGCTTTTGTCATTTAGCAAACATTTTTATCCAAAGAAATTGAGCATTAAATTTGTTTTTGAGAATTGAGACGGGGCTTAATTTTCATGGAAATCATGCAAATTTCATTTCTTATAATCATTTAATTTTATATTTCTACACTATCAGTCTATGGTCACATGACAGGCAGGAAAACAAATAAAATATTTCATCTTTTGATTTATGTTCATTTGTTTTTGTTTTAAAATGACTATTTCATTTGATTTTTACATTTGATCATTTCATTAATTATTAGCTTTTCATCAACTCACGAACCCCCTTTAATTCCCGTGAGAAGCCCAGTTTGGGAAGCTCTGAGTTAAAGGATGTGTGAGTATTTAGCGCATGTCTCGACAGCTTATCTTCTTCCAGTAATTTTAATTGTCTGTTGATTGCAGGCCACAGAATGGGCCGTAGACGAGACCACCAGGAGGTCCTGCCAGAGCAAAGGAAAGACAGAGGTGAGAAGAAAGATCTGTGAATGAATGAATGTATGTTATAGAGTTTGTATGTTATATGTGTGAAATGAAATCTCTCTTCTCTTCCTCTGCTCCTCTCAGGATGAGTGTCAGAACTATGTTCGTGTCCTCCTGTTGAACGGCAGCCGCTTGTTTACCTGTGGCACTAATGCTTTCATGCCCATCTGTACGACTCGCCCTATTACTGACATGGCGAGCGTTCTGGAGTCCATCAGTGGGGTGGCGCGCTGTCCCTATGACCCTCGACACAACTCTACAGCAATGATAACTGAGAGTGGAGAAGTCTATGCGGCCACTGTGACTGATTTCTCTAGCCGTGACCCGATTATTTACCGCAGTCTGGGGAACATGCCACCCCTGCGGACCGCCCAGTACAACTCCAAATGGCTCAGTGGTACAGTGGGACGACACACACACTTATCAGAGAGTCTGACAAAACCTGACAAGAACGCGTCCATTCCAAAATCAAAATTCCTGTATAAGAAATTATATTCTGCTAAAAGAAAATGAAGCCTACTTTTGGAGCTTATTTTTGTATTGTGAAATTATTTGACAATTCAGCTCATTTTGACCTACAGTATATTCTCATCACTGCAAAAATAATCATTCTTAAATTGTATTTTCTTGGTAGTATTTGTTGTTACTTTTATATTTATATTAGAAATAGCTTATTGTATTTATTGTAGCAACAAAATACTGTATTAGAGAATTCACCAATGAAAAAAAAATGAAAAAATTAAACACATTTAAAAGCTAAACATCTGGTTACATTATGTTTATGATTTAAAAATGCCTTTTTTAAAGATTTTATTTAAAGATATATAATTAGATTATTGTATTTACTGTTATGCATCATAAAATACTGCATTAGAAAATTCACCAATAAAAAATGAAAGGTAAAACATATAGATACATTGTTTTTTACGATTTAAAAATGTTGTATTAAATATTGTATTTTATTGTAATAAAAAAAATCTGTATTACAGTCATAAGAAAGTAAAATTTAAAGTCAATCATCTTAATAGTCTTAAATAGTCTTCAATTTCTTTTACGCAAAATACTTATTTCTTCTGATTTTGGGGTGAAATGCGAGTTGGACACGGTTTTGTGAGTCACCCATCTATTTATGGCTATGTATCGAAAAAAGTGTTTTGATAGTAATATATTGTATCATCTTTCTCTCCACAGAGCCTCACTTTGTCTCTGCGTATGAGGTGGGCCGCTTCACATACCTCTTTCTTCGAGAGAACGCAGTAGAACAGGATTGTGGGAAGACTGTCTTCTCTCGTGTGGCCCGCGTGTGTCAGAATGACATCGGTGGTCGTTTCCTACTGGAAGACACATGGACCACCTTCATGAAGGCTCGGCTGAACTGTTCCCGCTCTGGAGATGTTCCCTTCTACTACCATGAGCTGCAGAGCACCTTCTACCTCCCTGAGCAGGACCTCATCTACGGAGTCTTCACCACCAACGTGTGAGTGGATTTTTCATCACACACTGAAAATGCAATTCATAGAAGACCAACAGTCACACAGCAGGAAGTCCTGTAGTCAAGTTTTGTGACAATAATTACTTCTTAGACGTTATATATATAATAATATATAATATACAGGTAAGTAAGATTTGTTTTAAAGAAATTACAACTTTCATTCAGCAAGGACACATTAAATTGAAAAGTGTCATTATACATACACTCACCTAAAGGATTATTAGGAACACCTGTTCAATTTCTCATTAATGCAATTATCTAATCAACCAATCACATGGCAGTTGCTTTAATGCATTTACATTACATTTACATTTAGTCATTTAGCAGACGCTTTTATCCAAAGCGACTTACAACTGAGGACTAAACCAAGCGAGTCATCGTGAAGAGACAAAAACAACGCAAGAAGTGCTCAAAATACAAAGTTCAGACATTGCTCGGAGTAGCATAAGCCAGATAAGCAAGGATTTAAAGGAAAAGGAAAGGTTTTTTTTTTTTTTTTTTTGCTAAGTGCTCACGGAAGAGATGAGTTTTCAGTTGTCTTTTGAATGCTGTCAGGGATTCTGCATTCCGGATGAGGGTGGGCAGATCATTCCACCAGCGTGGTGCCGTGAATGAAAAGTGTGGTCCTGGTCAAGACAATCTCCTGAACTCCAAACTGAATGTCAGAATGGGAAAGAAAGGTGATTTAAGCGATTTTGAGCGTGGCATGGTTGTTGGTGCCAGACGGGCCGGTCTGAGTATTTCACAATCTGCTCAGTTACTGGGATTTTCACGCACAACCATTCCTAGGGTTTACAAAGAATGGTGTGAAAAGGGAAAAACATCCAGTATGCGGCAGTTCTGTGGGCGAAAATGCCTTGTTGATGCTAGAGGTCAGAGGAGAATGGGCCGACTGATTCAAGCTGATAGAAGAGCAACTTTGACTGAAATAACCACTCGTTACAACCGAGGTATGCAGCAAAGCATTTGTGAAGCCACAACACGCACAACCTTGAGGCGGATGGGCTACAACAGCAGAAGACCCCACCGGGTACCACTCATCTCCACTACAAATAGGAAAAAGAGGCTACAATTTGCAAGAGCTCACCAAAATTGGACAGTTGAAGACTGGAAAAATGTTGCCTGGTCTGATGAGTCTCTATCTCTGTTGAGACATTCAGATGGTAGAGTCAGAATGTGGCGTAAACAGAATGAGAACATGGATCCATCATGCCTTGTTACCACTGTGCAGGCTGGTGGTGGTGGTGTAATGGTGTGCGGGATGTTTTCTTGGCACACTTTAGGCCCCTTAGTGCCAATTGGGCATCGTTCAAATGCCACGGCCTACCTGAGCATTGTTTCTGACCATGTCCTTCCCTTTATGGCCACCATGTACCCATCCTCTGATGGCTACTTCCAGCAGGATAATGCACCATGTCACAAAGCACGAATCATTTCAAATTGGTTTCTTGAACATGACAATGAGTTCACTGTACTAAAATGGCCTCCACAGTCACCAGATCTCAACCCAATAGAGCATCTTTGGGATGTGGTGGAACAGGAGCTTCATGCCCTGGATGTGCATCCCACAAATCTCCATCAACTGCAAGATGCTATCATATCAATATGGGCCAACATTTCTAAAGAATGTTTTCAGCACCTTGTTGAATCAATGCCACGTAGAATTAAGGCAGTTCTGAAGGCGAAAGGGGGTCAAACACAGTATTAGTCTGGTGTTCCTAATAATCCTTTAGGTGAGTGTAAATTTTTAATGTTACAAAAGATTTCTATTTCAAATAAATGCTGTTTTTTTTACTTTCTATTCAATATTGATAATAATCAGAAATGTTTGTTGAGAAGCAAACCAGCATATTAGAATGATTTCTGAAGGATCATGTGACACTGAAGACTGGAGTAATGATGCTGAAAATTCAGCTTTGATCACAGCAAAAAAAAAAATATTTTTTATTATTTTGGAATTATTCGAATACTACATATTTATTTAAAATTGTAATAATATTTCTCAATATTACTGTTTTAATGTATTTTAGATCACATAAAAGCAGTCTTGGTGAGCATGAGAGACTTCTTTAAAAAAAAGAGTCTTACTGACCCCAAACGGTGGCCCTGAATGGTCCTGTTTTTCCATTCAAGGTTTTTAATGTAGAATTTGCTTCACTTCCCTCTCTCGTTTCTCCTCACAGGAACAGCATTGCTGCGTCAGCAGTGTGTGCGTTTAACCTCAGTGCCATCACACAGGCCTTTAACGGACCCTTCCGTTATCAGGAGAACCCTCGGACCAGCTGGCTTTCCACTCCCAATCCCATTCCGAACTTTCAGGTGAAGGAAATTAAATGCTGCAGCATTTTTTTTTCTTGAAGCCTTCTGGCACCAAATACAGTACTCAATCCGCGTTTCCACTGTCGGGCCAGTGCTAGGCCAGGGCTTTAAACGGGCCGTGCCGGGCTAATAGCCTCGGGCCAGTAGCACCTGGCCTGCGTTTCCACTGTCGGGCCAGAAGCTCCACAGCGCGTCACTAAAACACGCCCGCAACACGCCTCTCTGGAACGTCACACTAACCCATCATTTCACCAACAAATGGAAGTTTTATCAGAAAACTAATCAGAAAGAAATCACTGGAAACAGCGTGCATTGCAAAACAAACATGATAAAAGCGGCCGTTTGCTGGCATTTTTGTTGTTTACTTGAATATTTAAAACCCAAGCATCGATGTTTTACCACAGGTTTACAATAAAAAGTGATACATTGATCATAATGAATTAATTTATGTCAAAATTGCACATTAGTCACACAGAAATAAATGACGGTTAACGTTAGGTCTATTTCACAAAAGAAAGAGGACACACTTACATTATTCAGTCGAGGCTGTTTCTGTTTATTGGTAGTTACAGGACATATCACATTTAGAAACAATGATAATTTCTACAAATAATGTTATATGCCACCAAAAATACGACCTGAGGAGCGTTAGCACAGTCTCGACTCCCAGTAGCTACAGATATATTTTCAGTCAGAGAAACAGGAAGCTCCCGAAAAAAAGTAGATAGTCCGGTATAAAGAGACTACTAGTATATGTAGGCTACTGACAGATAAAATAAAAACATGATTGCGATAGCCTTTATGATTGGTCTGACTTCTTCAAGCGTTCACCATGTTTTTTTACTATGCGTATCTTCAAGCGTTTACTATGTTTACTATGGTAATGGTTAGCGCGCATATAGTCTTTTGCATCGCGTATAAATATTTCTACCTTATACAGTGATCAGAATCCACATCGGATCACAAACAGAAGGCATTAAAACATGAAAGTGAGTTAAATTATTTTAAAAGTCTTTAATGCTGACAGAATCATTCGGCACTCCTGTCTCTCGTAATCCCCGCCTCTGTTCGTAACCACTCCTCTAGCCCGAGCTGGCCCGCTTTGGCCCAAGGTATTCGACGGGCCAGAAATCCTGGCCGTTGGCCCCGAGTAAGCCCCGATCAAGCCCCGGAAGTGACAGTGGAAACGCGACTGGCCCTGGCACGCACTAGCACGGCTCGGCCCTGGCCCGGCAGTGGAAACGCGGCTAATTAGTTTTTTTCTCTCTTTCTCTCTTTCAGTGTGGGACAGTGAATGATTCGGGTTCAGGCAGTAATCTAACGGAGCGCAGTCTTCAAGACGCCCAGCGGCTCTTCCTCATGAGTGAGGTGGTTCAGCCCATCTCCACGGATCCTCTGGTCATGCAGGACAACATCCGTTACTCCAGGCTGGCTGTGGACATTGTTCAGGGGAGGGACACGCTTTACCACGTCATGTACATCGGCACAGGTAAAGGAAGCAAGGAAAAAATCTGACATGCATGTCCTGCAAAGAATTCAAAAGCATGTCCTCCATTGTGTTCTCCAATCTCTGCTGAAAATCCAGCATATATCAGCATGATTTCTATGTTGGTCCAGGCTGGGTTATGATGGATAGAGCTGGTATAGTGCTGGTCTAACTGGTGGACCAGCACTCATGCTTCTCATGCTGGGAACCAGTATCCCATCCCAGCAAGCAATTTTGCGTTTAAAAGACGTCTAATAGCCGTCCAAACACAGCCCAGACGTCTACATTTAATAGATGTTTAAACCATATCCCAAGAATAGACTAGAAACGACTAGTGTTTCACTGATTTTCACTGACAGCCCAAACTTTGCCTTGGTTTAGACGTCTGGGCTGTGCTTGGACGGCTATTACACACCTTTTAAACGCAAATTTGCTTGCTGGGATCCTGGATGCAAAACATACTTTATGCTGGTGACTGGATTTTTCAGCTGGGATGTTTAGAAGAACTTGCGCTTCTAATTGTAGCTGTTTTCTTTAATTGACCAATCAGAGCACGGCACCATCATTAAGGCCTTGTCCACCAATAATAAGAGTCTGCGTGGATGTTACTTGGAGGAGATGAACATTCTTCCAGAAAACATGCAGGAGCCAATCCTAAACCTACAGATTCTGCACAACGATAGGTCGCTTTTCGTGGGACTTCCCAGCAGAGTGCTGAAGATCCCTCTGGAGAGATGCTCCAGCTACAAAACTGAACAGTAAGTTACACACATACACACACTAGGACTGCAACCCCACTTTTTGACAACAGACTCATGATGTCAGAGCATCCTAACCTTGAACATGATTGAGCTGTTACTTTCACTACAGATTCATTTGCCGTCGTTTTGACCTGGTCACACATGACATCTAAACGAACACATGCTGGTGAATTACGGCAAAGGATGATTACAGAAAATGTCCTTCCGAGCTTCTAATGCACTTGGAGTCAGACAGGAAGTGAAGCTCGAGGAGGTGAAGTGAATGACAGTACTTATGGGTAGTCAGAGATATTATTATCTCATAAATTTTCCACCAAGGGCCGAGAGGCAGATGAATGATGAACTAGGTCATTTAAAAAAAAAAAAAATCGCTGTATCGTGTTCTCCGTCACCGCTATGAATAGAACACCTATAAATTGTCGAACATCATTAAAAATATATAATGCATGCATCACTCCTCACAGGAAATGACTGCATTTACATTACAGATCTAATTAGATATCGGATCCATAAAGTAATGGCCTCCTTCTAGACTCCACATGGATGAATTGGGCTTCTGAGCTGGATTTGTAAGGCCTTTCTGTGAATTTGTACCCTAAAACATGTTAAATTGGGTTTTAATATCAAGCAAAACATTGTTTCCGATCTGTTAAATGCCTTGAAGCTCTGATGTAGCATGTCACTGTATTTAAAATACACCATGTTACGTCAGTTTTTCTTCATCCAGCATGTCACGTCAGAAGAGGTTTTGCACGTGATCTGTCAGTTTAGTGGCGTGTGTGTGCTTATGGTTTGAGGGTGATGGTTATTACTTAAGAGGTGGAAGTGTGTCATTATGTGAGGACTGTGACGTCTTGGACTCTCTGCCTAAATTCCTGCCGCAGATGTTGTTGCACAACACTCAGAGTTACACAAGACAGAAACATTTGATATAAGATGCTGTTACTGGACATGATGAAACTGTTTGTGAAGCCGCTCAGTGTTTAACATGCTGATGCCATTACAGATTCTTCACCACGCACACGTACACACACATGGCAAAAGGTCAGATCTCACAAGGTTGTTACAAATAACTCTATTTTATACAAATGTTCATCTATGGAGTCTGATTGAGCTGCAAGTGTTTAGTCATTATAATTTTATATAACCTTTAATGAATGTAAATGTATTCTCGGTATGGCTTTTAGCATCTCCAGCACGATTTGCAGTTTTCTCTGATTACTTCATATGCCGGTGTGAAGTAATCGGATGTTCAGTTTGTTAGTGAACTCTGAGACGTATTTTTATGTTTGATTTTTGGGTAAAATATGACTCTGTATAGTGTACGGTTCAAAAGTTTATGGTCGGTAAGAATTTTTTATGTTTTTAAAAGTCACCAAGGCTGCATTCATTAGATAAAAAATACATTAAAAACGGTAATATTGTGAGATATTATTAGAATTTAGAAGATCTGTTTTTATTTTAGTTAATATTAAAATGCATTTGATTCCTGTGATGCAAAGCTGAATTTTCAGCATCATCCAGTCTTCAGTGTCACATGATCCTTCAGAAATAATTCTAATATGCTGATTTGATTCTCAAGAAACATTTCTGATTATCAATTCTGAAAACAGTGATAAAGTTCAAAAGAACAATTTATTTGAAAAATAATCTTACTGACCTCAAACTTTTGTGAGGTAGTGTAAATATGCTGCTATTTTACTGGTAACGTACGTTGTTTGATTTTTTTAATACCTAATGTCCTTCCTAAGAATGACACATCTTTAAAATAATGAAACGTGCTTCTGAATTAATAACACTGTTGCACTCAATTGAACCTAAAGGACACAAGGAGAAAAGCACAAGTCTATTAGCTCTAATAAATCACCAGAGATGCGGTCAGATATTCTTTATCTCCCAGAGCAGGATTTGATGCTGCTTGTGTTTTCTCGATAGTTACTGTGTAGATCATATCATGTTTTGATCAGATGCTTAGATTACATTTACACTTGATCAATCTCTGATTGGATCTCGACATAATAAATGTGTAGAGATATTCGACAAAATTTGCAAAACATTCATTATTGATTCAGTGTTCATTATCTGAGAGTCACCCAGAATTAGTTTTAATAATTAATTAGTATAATGAAATTTATTTGTTTTTTTTTTGGAAATTCATGCTTGAATTGCACTGAGATTTATTCCTCATTATAAAGCTGTGCAGAGATTGAAATCTCTCTTTTCTCTCTTGTTAAGTTCTCACAACACACTCTACACTGGTAGTTATTAAGTTGCTGTCATTGATTTGTGACTGTTTGTATGTGTGTGTTTCCGCAGGGATTGTCTGGGCGCCAGGGATCCGTACTGCGGATGGGACCGGAAAGAGAAGCGCTGTACGACGATTGAGGACAGTTCCAACATGAGCCAGTGGAGCCAAGACATCACAAAGTGCCCTGTAAGACCAATCTCTCATCACACAGAAGAGAAGAATCACACCTGACTTTAATATGTCAGGTGTTTCTTCTAGACGGCAACGAGATTAAATGATGGCTGTGTCCGAAATCTCCACTCAAACCACTACTCCCTAACCCCTATGTAGGGGGTAGGGAGTAGAGCACTATATAGTGAGCTCACCAGCATAATAGAAACACCACTTTCGGACACTACTCGATCGTCTCCCGGCCGGCGCCGTTGATTACGTCATTACTGTCGCACTATTTAAACGCGCCATCATCTGTCAGCTGGTGCCGAGCCAGCTCTGGGCTAAATAGATTTTTTTTTTATAAATACATTACATTATAGACCAATTTCCAGCCGACGTCACAGTTACGTCACGGCGCTAGCTGGTGGCAGAACAAAGGGAAAACTGGAGGCGGCAAATACAAAACCAGCACAGATTCGGCTACAAAATAAGGATCTTAAATTATTCTTATTATTATTAAATGTCATCTTGTTGTGTTGTTGGGTGCAAGAATCAATGAAAAATGAATATGCTTTTATCTGCAATTTTTTATTTCTAGAAAATATTCACCTCATTAAAATTGCACCGTAATGTCACTCTTTACATTGTCGTCTTCATGGCGCTGGCTAGGCAGAACTGCGGATCGTACCACACAAGTCTTGTACTTGACCATTCAGCACATAGTTATAGGCATCTAAAGATTTATATGCCCTCTGTTTCTCTATCGGGTAGGTGTAGAAGTCAGGCCACTCAACCGGAGGTAGCGTTAACGTTAATCCTGTCAGATCCTCAATCAATGAGTGTACGGGTCGGCCAATCTGGTTCCGTCCGTTAAAATTAACTTTTGCAAAAAACAATCGTGGTCCTGGACAGTGAGCGACCTCGCACATTAAGATAAAATCGGATTTTCTCCAGTCATTGTTAAAAACAAGCTAACAAAACTTGCAGACTTTACGTTAGTGAAGCGGCCAGAGGGATCGTTCTGCCACCACCTAAGCTCCGCCCACAGAAAAACGTCACCATGTTTACCAACTGAAAATTGGTCTCTATTGAGCTTATTTCTCCAAAATTGTAAAATTAAAAGTCATTTCTGGCCGTGTCTGTTATAATGCGTTACTCCACACATGATTATAACTTATAAACATAAATAAAATTAATACACATATTTCATATATTTTCATTTTCTTGCCTGTCGACATTAGGGAAAAAAAACAGATCTACGTTATCATATATCTTGCTCATAATACTCTTAATAAAACAGCTTTTAGACTCTGTGGAGATGCCACTCAATATTTATCTTTTTTGTTTGTTTGTTCTCGTGATTCAGAAGATTTTGTGGATTAGCAAAAGAAACAGGATTTCTAGACACAGAAAACGACGTGCTGTTCTCGCTACGCTAGCGAGACGTCGTCAAATTGCAAGTTAAAGATGAAGATGATGCTGATAGGTCTTTTACGATCAGCGCAATGCATGATGGTATGTAGGGCTTGGGTTAGTGACCATCGGTTGTACACTACTTTTCAAAATGCATTCTGGGATACATTGAGTGGACTATATAGGGTATAATAATCATCACTATACATTTGGACAGCACTACAAAATGGCGAGCTCACTATATAGTCCACTATATAGTGAGTAGTGGGAGATTTCGGACACAGCCGGAGAGTCAGTGGCTCTCAAACTCATTCTCACACCTGACTACCAAATAACTGAAAATGATAAAAACAAAAGATTTTTTTAAATTGAAAAGCCTGCAGTGAAAAACACCTGCAATCGTTTCAATTTGTAATGCCGTTGAAACATTCAAAAATATAACGGTAAGAGAGAATACTTTTAATAGATGTAAATATTAGCTCTTTTGGCGCCTCTCAAGCTCAGCTTCTTGTACGTCTTCTCGCGTTCACTTATGACGCCGTCTGCTGAAGAGATGTTTTTCGACAGTGAGGAACTTCTACGTCGGACTTGTTCAGACGGTGTTGAAGTAACGTTAAACGCTCTGAAGAAGAAAGACTCAGTGGAATTGGGGCTGCTTTATAAAGTTAGCGCACCAGCCGGTATTCACACACTTGAACTTCGTTGCAACGGCTGCTTTCTGTTATTATTTTTCTGCTTAGCTCCGCACCCCACACTTTGAGAACCACTGGAGCAAATGTTTGATTAGGTCTCCTTGGCCTGTACGACAGAAACATCCTAACTTAGAATCATATCCCATTCCTATCTGTCTAGGAACCATGGAACTTTTTCAGATCTTACTTACAAAAAATTACTCGCCGTAATGTCGTTCCAACCCCGTAAGACTTTTGTTCATCTTCGGAAACGCAAATTAAGATATTTGGGTAACACTTTACTTGAAGGGGAGTGCATAAGACTAACATGACACCTTCATAATCATGACATGACACATGTTATGAATATGAAGGAAGTTGTATGCATGTTTATGACAACTGTCATTAAGTGTCATTCACTCAATTATGACATTTTTAATGCAAATATGACATTGTTTGAGATGTCTTTGTTATGACACCTTGACATAAGCAAATACATCATAACCTGTCAGTGTCTTTGTCATGACAACTTGACATTACTAAGACAACACAACCTGTCATAAACATGACCTAGCAGATTAATTATCAAACTTAAGAAACCACTTAGCTTTATTGGTTAACATTACATTAAACTGACAGGTGGTTGGTTTTGACATTGGCTGTCATGAAGCCATTATAACTGTTTAATGACAAATTCAATTTGTACCACTGTAGTTGAGATCACGAAAAATATTCATGACACAGTTATAATGCCTCATGACAGCCAATGTCAAAACCAACCACATGACAGTTTAATTTAATGTCAAGTTGTCATGACAAAGACACTGACAGGTTATGATGTTATGGTTTATGTCAAGTTGTCATAACAAAGACATCTTAAACAATGTCATATTTGCATTCAAAATGTCATTATTGAGCGAAAGACACTTAATGAGTTGTCATAAACATGCATAAACCCTACTTCATATTCATGACATATGTCATGTCATGGTTATGAAGGTGTCATGTCAGTCTTATGCACACCCCTTCAAGTAAAGTGTTACCGATATTTGTGATTAAATCTGGGAGCTGTCTCACTCCTTCATAGGCTTCTATGTAATTTCATTCTGCCAGTCCAGAAAGTTAGTAAAGACATCGTTAAAATAGTCCAAGTGACAATAGTGGCGACGTGAGTTCACGAGAGCCGCGACGCATGCGCGAGAACTGAGAAGATGACGCTCACGATCATTTGATGGGAAAGTGTGAAAGGTAAGACATTCGATTTACGGTATTGGTAAGGCACTTTTACATTTTCTCGTTGGTTTCTCACGGTTCTGCGTCATCTTCTCAGTTCTCGCGCATGTGTCGCGGCTCTCGTCAACTCACTCAGAGGCTTACACAGAAGAAAATCAATAGTTGAATAAAGTCGTTATTTTGGGGTTTTTTTGCACACAAAAATATTCTCGTCGCTTGATAAACTTTATACTATTCTAATCTGTATTCTGTTCTATTTTATACTCTTTTATTATTTTCTGTTTTGTTCTGTTCCGTTCTATTATGTTTCGGTTCTATTCTGTTCTAACAGGATCTATTCTATACTGTTCTATTCTATTCTATATTCTGTTCTATTCTATACTCTTATTATTTTCTGTTTTGTTCTATTCTGTTCTGTTCTATTCTATTCTGTTGTATTATGTTTCGGTTCTTTTCTGTTCTAATATGATCTATTCTATTCTGTCCGGTTCTTTTCTGTATTCTGTTCTATTCTATACTCTTAATATCTGTTCTGTTCTATTATATTATATTCAATTATGTTCTATTTTTTTCTGTTCTGGTGTATTATGTTATATTCTGGTTTGTTCTATACTATTCTATTCTGTATTCTGTTCTATTTTATACTCTTTTATATTTCATATAGTTTTGTTCTATTCCATTCTGTTCTATACTACTCTGTTCTATTCTATTCTATTTTGGTTCTATTGTGATCTATTCTATTCTGTCCTGTTCTATTCTGCATTCTGTTCTATTCTATAATCTTATTTTCGGTTCTGTTCTATTATATTATATTCAATTATGTTATATTTTGTTTGATTTTTTTTCTGTTCTGCTGTATTATGTTCTATTCTGGTCTGTTCTATACTATTCTATTCTGTATTCTGTTCTATTTTATACTATATTATTTTCTGTTTTGTTCTATTTCGTTCTATTATGTTTCGGTTCTATTCTGTTCTAATAGGATCTATTCTGTTCTATTCTATTCTAAATTCTGTTCTATTTTATACTCTTTTATTATTTTCTGTTTTGTTCTGTTCCGTTCTATTATGTTTCGGTTCTATTCTGTTCTAACAGGATCTATTCTATACTGTTCTATTCTATTCTATATTCTGTTCTATTCTATACTCTTATTATTTTCTGTTTTGTTCTATTCTGTTCTATTATGTTTCGGTTCTATTCTGTTCTAACAGGATCTATTCTATACGGTTCTATTCTATTCTATATTCTGTTCTATTCTATACTCTTATTATTTTCTGTTTTGTTCTATACCATTTTATTCTATTCTATCATGTTTCAGTTCAATTCTAATCTAATATGATCTATTCTATTCTGTACTGTTCTATTCTCTATTCTGTTCTATTCCACACTCTTATTCATTTCTGTTCTGTTCTATTCCATTCTATTCTATTCTATTATGTTTCACTTCTATTCTAATCTAATCTAATCTAATATGATCTGTTCTATTCTATTCTATTCTATTCTATTCTATTCTGTTCTATTCTACAAAGATTACATTTCCAGCTCAGAGATTCTGAAGACCAGATTCATAACAATGTTCTTTGAGTACACCAACAATCTCTTATGAATTTTTGCGCTGGTCACGAAGAATCAAGTTTGTGCTGAAGAGCCTGAAGGTTAACCCAGCTGATCCAGACTCTGACAGTGTCAATTACACGCTGGTGTTCTGCACGACGGCTGGCCAATGTCACTCCTGTTCCCTCTCGACACTTCATTAGGTTCATAATTAGACATCACACATTTCCTATTATCTCTGATGGTTGGTGTCCTCAGAGGAGCAATAATAAACAAACCTAATTTTCTACCACACTGGAAGCTTTGGGTTCGCCCCAAGTTGTACACTTGTACTATCTATGCACTGAAAGTACTTTCTACCATGCTAATAGGCAATACCCACTGTTTCCATAGTAACGACTTTAATGACTTTGACAGTTAGGGAGTGTTTCCCCAAACTTTTACAGAAATCATTCCTAGAGTCGCTTTTGTTGTCCCGCCAGGCGTGATCATTGATGTTACTGTAAAAATAAGCATATGCAAAATGGTTACAAAGCCTAAACATGGTGTAAATCAACACTAACACCATTGAACTAAACTAAATATTAATGGAAGCTTCTGATCAGGAATAACATGGAACAGATACAATTGCAGACTTGTTTACGTTTTAAACATAACATTTCAGAAAACGTGTAATACAAAACAGTTGTCCTAATGTACTGTGATTAATCAACTAGGGAAGCTATGGTTTGCGTTTACCTTCACAGGAGCGGAAACTTACCCAAGATGGTGGATTTGGCCACTGGTCCCCATGGCAGGCTTGTAACCATGATGACGGAGGGGAAGGCACCAGCACGTGTCAGTGTCGCACTAGGTCCTGTGATAACCCTCGACCCCAGTGTGGAGGGATGAAGTGTGTCGGGGCCAACATAGAGGTGGCCAACTGCTCCAGGTACACTTACTGTACTCACCCATATCTTTTCCTTACAATGACCACGATACCGACCACACTTGTTGAAGCCAAAAAATGACAAAGCACTATAAAAGCACTCTGCATATTCAAACTTGTCATGTTGCGATTGGTTACTAGGCATATGAGAAACATGATATTTAGCATCACTGACAACAAACCTGGCATGACATATCTCGACTAGCAGTATTTGCACAAATGCGAACACAACACATACAGTATCATTCAAAAGTTTGGGGTCATGTTTTTCATGGTTTGAAAGTCATGCTCACCAAGGTTGCATTTATTTGATCAAAACTACATTAAAAACAACAGTGATATTATGAAATTGTATTACAATTTAAAATAACTGTTTTCTATTGCAATATATTTTAACATGTAATTCATTCTTGTGATCAAAGCTGAATTTTCATCATCATTACTCCAGTCGTCAGTGTCACATGATCCTTCAGATATCACTCTAATATGTTGATTTGCTGCTCAATAAACATTTCTGATTATTATAAATGTTGAAAACATAAATATTTTTGTGAATAGAAACAGCATTTTTTTTTTAAATAGAAATATTTTGTTACATAATAAATGTTTTTACTGTCACTTTTGATCAATTTAATGCATCCTTGCTGAACAAAATTAATGATTTATTAAAAAACAACAACAAAAATCTTTTGAATGGTATTATACAGTATATGGAAGCTGTTCTTTGCACAAAACACGTAGAAGACTTGAAATATAGCACACAAGTCATATAAGTGTTGGGGAAGCTACTCTGAAACTATAGTTTGACAAGTTACACATTAGTTAAAGTAGTTATGATACAGTCAAGCTACCCTTCTGAAAAAGTAGTTTGCAACACTACAAGTTACTATCAAAAAGTAGCTAAACTATTTTATTTACAACCACTTTGTATATAGCAAATAACTGAATAATTGTTAATGAAGCAGGTTCAAGGTAAAAGATTTGTGGTTTAAAACAACATAATGCAATACAATTGTGATTTCAAAGAGTAGCCGATTATTTTATCTTGTAAACTGTTCGTCAAAGCGAAAAAGTTACGCTACAACACTACTTGCTGGAAAAAGTAGTTAGCTAATGGAAAAGCTATACTGTTTTGAATTTGAAATCTTTATTTCGAACATGGAAAAGAAAATATATATAAATATAAAACAATGTTTAAAACATAGGAGAAAAAACAACAACAAATGAGCAGCAAACAAAGTACACTTCTTTCCTGTTAACATACTTCTATTACATGTGCGAAAAGGAGTAGGAAGAAGTAAAACTTATATACTCCTACCCCCTTAATTCTTACGGTCATTCATTTTACAATTTTTATATTATTATTATTATTATTATTATGTTGTTCTATACATCTCTACATATATATACACACACACACACACATATATATATATATACACATACAAACACATATACATACATACACATACACACATACACATCATAGTGACCACTGACAAGTATTTATTTATCTACCCTCAATTATGTACTTATTCAAGCAGCAAAAAATACCACCAAAAATAACAAAACAAACAAACAAACAAAAACAGTAGCTCAGTTTTAAAAGCAACTGAGCCACTGTCAAGCAACTTGTACTTGGCTCCTCCCCAACTCTGAGTCATATCGATATAGTGATGCATCTATGTGATTTTTCAAGTTTGATAGCACCCCTTATTCACTGTCGTTCCACAGAAAAGAAAGTCATAGGGGTTGGTAAGCGTATGAGTCAGTAATGTACATGATGGCAGATTAACTTTTTTTTTTTTTTTGGATGAACTAGCCTTTTAAAATCTGGAAAGTGGCAGGTGTAAACAGTGTGGTCAGAGTGATGTATGAGAGCCAGAGCGATCAGCCTGAAGTCTTCAATCACAGACAATTAAAGTGTCAGAAGCTTTTATTCCCTCTGATTCAGCTCTTCCGTGAGAGAAAGGAACCACCCAACGCTAACAGCTGCGGAGACTGAGACCTGGAGTCCATCAATCCCGAACACTGATACAGACGAGCTGCGTGTAACGTGTGGATGTATTCATTAACTACAAGATGCTGACGCCACAGTTCTGGCGGAGCTGCTCCTTCTTTGCGTGTCCCATTATCCTGCAGTCACCGAATCAATGTTCCAATTATTTCTTCACCTAGAGAGCTTGTTTAAACACACACATCACCAGGTCTGGGTGCAAGAAACTAACAGGACGCAATGTTTCAGCATAACAAAAGAACAGCAGCTGTGGCAGGATCTTTCAGCTGTAGCAGAAATATGATAAATGATCAACAGTTTGAGTAATGAGCTGATAATACATCTTTTTCAGAATGCTACTGTTAAAGGGTTAGTTCACCCCAAAATGAAAACGCTGTCAGTAATTACTCGCCCTCATGTTGTTCCAACCCCGTAAGACTTTCGTTCATCTTCGGAACACAAATTAAGATATTTTTGATTAAATCTGAGAGTTGGATCACTCCTCCATAGGCTTCTTATGGGATCGAAACTGGGGTTTTCTTACTCTTTTGAAATGAATACTCTTAATTTTTCAAACTTTGCAACAGTCCAAAGATCGTGTCCCAACCCTACCCTTCATATCGTTTAAAACCCGTATTACTTCCTTTCACACAGGATGATGAAAGTCTTGGACCCCATTTACTTTCATTGTATGGACAAAAACATTGAATGTCACATGAATATTAGATGAAAAGCTACCATACTATACCATAATTACTAAAGCTTAAACTTAAAATGAAAGTAAAATATTAATAAATACTGTAGTGGTATATCAATAATACTAAAATAACCCTGGAAAGTATGGACAAAAATAATTTGTGTTCCACATAAGAAGGCATGCTAGCATCGCTTATGATTTCTTCACAAAAATCGAGTTGAAACTGCTACAAAAGCAGTTTGATCAAATATCACCACCGTTATGACATCACAACCCTGCTCACATTTTCAACTCCTATACAGCATTTATCAGCTGCTGTGATGAACGATATAATGAAAGGTGATTGTACACAGAGGTTGGCCAATCATAATCGAGGTCATTTACATATAGACATCTTCTATATACACTACCGTTAAAAAGGTTGGGGTCTGTAAGATTTGTAATGTTTTTTAAAGAAGTGTTTTATTAAGTAACTCCTAACTCCTGCTTCTGTGTGTTCAGGAATGGAGGCTGGACCCCCTGGTCGTCCTGGGCCGAGTGCAGCACCAGTTGTGGCATTGGATTTGAGGTCCGTCAGCGTTCCTGCAACAACCCAGCACCCCGACACGGAGGACGCGTATGCGTAGGTCAGGCGCGAGAGGAGAGGTGAGGCCAGAAGAGAGATGGACAATAAGGCTGTTCTGTATGCTTTTGATTTGATATGATTTAATTTGCCACAAAAAACAAACTCGAGTGTTAATGCAAAAATGCAGTCTGTGTGAACGGCCCCTTGAAAGTAATTTTTTAGTGTATTCCAGCCTTAACTATAAAAGAACCAACTCCATAAGTGTATACGTGTTTGTTTGAGGTGACTGGAAGATGAATCGTTCATGTTTGTGTGATTCAGATTGTGTAACGAAAAGAATCCATGTCCTGTTCCGGTGTCCTGGGTCTCCTGGAGCGCTTGGTCCAAATGTAGCGTTGCCTGTGGTGGTGGAGTCCAATCCCGTGTTCGAACCTGCGAGAATGGCAACTCGTGTCCTGGTTGCCCTCTGGTAGGGTCTTCAACTAGTCATAAAATCAACAAAAACCCTGTTATAAACAAAAAATCACATCAGAATCTATCATGTGTGTGTTACTGCATCCAGGAGTATAAAGCGTGTAATTTGGACGCGTGTGCCGAGGTGAGGCGCACCACGCCGTGGACCCCCTGGTACGCTGTTAACGTGACTCAGATGGGTGCGAGACAGGAACAGAGGGTCAGGTACACCTGTAGGGCTCTCCTCGCTGACCCTCACGACCTGCAGCTCGGCAAACGCAAGATAGAGACTCGCCTCTGTCCCACCACTGACGGAGCTGCTGTCTGTGAGACTGACGGTACACGCACGCACGCACGCACACACACACTCACACACGCACACACACACACTCACACACACACAGACACACACACACACACACACACACACACACACAAACACACACACAGACACACACACTCACACCTACACACACACGCACACACACACACACACACACACACACACACACACACACACACACACACACACACACACACACACACACACACACACACACACACACAAACAAACACACATACACGATTTGGGAGGAAAATCTATTAAAATTCTGATTTAAAATGTGATTTAAAAAAATCCATGTTTGCTTGTTTGTAGGGTTACATAATTTGTCACAAATTGTTGTGGTTATATACGGAAGCGTATTGCATTCACTTGAGGAAAAAAAATCTACTCTGTTTTTCTGAATTAACAAGTTAATTATCTCAGAATTACAAGATAATTTTTCATGTAAAATTTTTTTTTGCTCTGTTTTTCTGAATTAACGAGTTAATTATCTCAGAATTACGAGATATTTTTTCATGAAAAAATGTTTTTGATTTTTTTTCCTCAAGTGAATGCAATACGCTTCCGTAGTTATATATTAATATGACTATAAAATAATAATTATAATTAATTAACTAAAATGAATTAATAAAAAATTAAACCAAATAAAAAATAATACTATTATAATACTATAATTATAAAATACAAAAATATTTCACTATAAAAATAGAGTATTTAAGAAAAATAATATAATAGTGATAATAAATCAAATTAGTAAATTGATTTTTTTTTCGTAATTTTTTTTTTTTTACAGTACAACTGTAAAATTGCAATACTAATATTTATGGCTGTCTTAATTTCTTCATTTTCAAACATGAAACCATTAAACTTTTATTTGACGGGAAACTCTTCCGCCGGTCTATAAGGACTTCTCATCACAAGTTTGGGAAGATGGCTGGTGCATGTTGCGTTCCCAAATGCACGTTAAAGCGACCCAAAGTGATTTTGATTGGTTGTGCAGCCCTCCTATACGTACACTTTTATGTTTGTAGGTCTAGTTGAGGACTTGTTGAGAATGGGTCGACCCGTCACACGAGTGCAAGGAGCCGCCTGGTCATCATGGGAAACGTGGTCTGCATGTTCCAAAGAGTGTTCCAAAGGCTTTCGCACACGCAAGCGCTCCTGCGCCACTCCTGATGGGAAGAGCACACCGTTCGCCTGCAGCGGGGCGCCCGTCGAGTATCAGGACTGCAACTCTCAGCCATGCCCAGGTCAGAGTTTCCTCTGACATATGACAGTCATGTCCTGTTATTAAAGGGTACATAACACACACAGTTTCTCATGTTAATCTTGGGTACCTATAGAGTAGTATTGCATCCTTCATATCTCCGAAGAGTCTTTAGTTTTATCAGATTTGTAAAAGACAGATATGCTGTACTGATTCTCCCCAAAAACAGCCGAACTTTGAAAGAGTGTATTTGGCACAGAAATATTTTTCAAATTTTCTAATATTCCAACAATTTTTTTTTAAACTTTGCGCATGTTTAGCATATGAATCCAACTCTTTAACAGTGTAAATAAGGGATTTAAGTAAGGGATAATGTACATCCAGCTGACCAATCAGAATCAAGTATTCCAGAGAGCTGACTTTAAAAGTCTTGCTGCAAGGAGTGTTGTGATGACGGGTGTTGTTTTCCAGTGAAGGGGGCGTGGTCATGCTGGTCTTCCTGGTCCCAGTGCTCTTCTTCCTGTGACGGCGGTCACTACCAGCGCTCTCGTACCTGCTCTAACCCCACGCCTGCTCATTCTGGAGATATCTGCATCGGTCTGCACACGGAGGAAGCTCTCTGTAACACACACGAGTGTGAAGGTGAGAAAACAACAACTTCGTGTTTTCTCAACACGATTTCTCTTAAAGTCCCCCTGTAGTCAATAATTGTTAAAACTCATCTTTGATCACCAAAATGACATATTTAAATGTTTTTTCCTTGAAATTCATGCCTTAAAATAGCTTGAATGTAACTCTACACCCTTGCCTCATTTAGTACACGCGGTTCTATGAATATGCAAATGAGCCCCGCCTCCACTCACTCACTCAGCTCAGAGATCCACTGGTTGACGATCACTCGTTGATCTGATTGGTTACAAGGTCGTTTGTGACGTCAGAAACACCAGCGATTTCAAACCGTGTTTTTGAGACTGTCTTTGGTTCACTGCAGTTTTAAGGAGGAAATACTCAGCAATGCTGTCGACTTATGAACTTACACATGATTTGTCTTAAAGCATATTAAAAACACCACATATACATATTAACAACATTGAAAACTTAATTTTCATATTTAAATTTTAACTTTTTACAGCTTTATTAATGATTATTTTAGTACTTTTAAGAAATAAATATATAGAAAAAAGAAAATGTTGGCGTTTAATAAAAAAAGCATTTGAACAAAGAGCTTAGAAAATTGTGTTATTGTTAAAGACTACTTCCGGATCGAGTTCCGAACGATGATCAAAAACATAGATGCGAAACATAATAAACATGGATTGCCGGAAAATTGGCAGGGAAAGAGTTAAATACTCTTTATGACTGCATTCATGATAACTAATGAAAACACATTTGTGTTCTGTTGTTTCTCACGTGTGTCAGGTGGGTGGGGGGCGTGGTCAGAGTGGGCGGAGTGTAATGAGGAGGGGCAGCAGCTCCGCGGTCGGATATGTGAAATTAACTCCTCTTGCCAAGGAAACTCTACAGATCAGAGAACGTGTCGGCCCAATGAGAGCGCAGGTTAGTTCCTTTCCCTCTTCTCCTTAAATCCTGCCTGGCGTCTCAGACAGGAGAGTTTCACATCGTTTTCTTAATTCTAGTGCTGTCAAAGGGACAGAGGAGGAACTCAAACTGTGGAGGTAAATGCAACTTAAGAAAAATCAAACAGCATTGAGGTTTTCATGTGGCTATCGACCGTAGGTAAACGTTTGTTTTCGTCTCCTGCAGGGTTTTCTCTGTTCCACTTGGTGCTGACCGGCGCATGTTGTTTTGTGGGAGCTGTTCTGCTGTCCGTCCTGGTGTACGTGTACTGTCAGAGACTCCGCAAACCTCCTCAAGAATCCGCAGTTATTCATCCCAGCACTCCCAACCACTTACACTATAAAGAGAACAGCTGCGCGCCCAAGAACGACTTATACACACCCATGGAGTTCAAGGTATCCCATCATCCCACAGGGGTCTGTATCTCTTGTGCAGTGGTCCTTGACTTGTGGTTCATAACACTGATCAGCGCAAATAATAAAATGCTTTAATAATATAATCATGCATTGTTAATATAGAGAAATAAATAGGCTTAAACCATTAAAGGGAAGTCCTATAATTCAAGGAAGCAAACTTTTTAATTGTGCATATTGGTCTGTGAAGTTTATATATATATATACATTATATTAATGAATTATTTATTTATTTAATCATTTTAATAATAAAAGTTTAAGTGAAAAAAACCCCAATTATATTAGTTTTACTTTTAAATTGTAATATTTTTATATACCGGTACATTATATTATTATTATTATATTTACTTTTTGTTTTATTTACTGGTCTTGTGTTGTGTGCACATGATATATTTGCTGTAAAATCAGTATCTGAAGCAGTTGAGATCCACGACTCTCCCTAATCTGTCTCGGAGGAAACGGCTCTCGTTCTATAAATCCGTCTCATCTATCATTCTTCATTTTCCGGTTCCGTCTCTTCCCTCGGAGCGTTGACATCAGAGGACCGCTGCAGCATGATGCAAAACACGCCGTGGCCTTTGAAATATTGAAGAGACTTGTCCAACATCCCTGAGCTCACTTTTTGTGTTTTCCCTCTGTTCCCCGCAGACTCTGAATAAGAACAACCTGCTTCCACCTGATGAAAGCTGCAACTTCTTCCCATCAGCCTTGCCACAGACCAACGTCTACGCCACCACGTATTACCCGTCTCCTCTGGGCAAGTATGACTTTCCTTCCATGGACCCACCTTGCAGCTACATGCACAGCTGATGCACAAAGACACACATCATGCTTTCTTAGGGGTGTGTGACCACGGTTACACACCCTTATCCGTCCATGCAGATGCATTGGAAAATGCATGGATCCACAGGAAGGTCGAGCGCATAACCTGCATCTCAAAAGATGCAGGAACACGCAACGGATTGTTGTTCGGATAAGACGGGCCCATGTAGTTTTCTTGTAGCATTTCCTTTCCTAAATGTCATCTCAATCTGGAAGTCACGGGTTCAGTTGATCACATGCGTTGTAATAACTACAGACTGACACTCACAAAGCATGCTCACTTCCTAAAACGCAGAGGAGCGAGAGGATTTCTGGCATCTTCGCTCTTCACGTGAAGCTCAAAACCGAATGGTGACGCACTGCTTCGTGTGCCGGCGTCTTCAGCTTTTGTGTTGTTTTTCACAATAGAAAAAAATGCAACGCAGAACTCGTTTTGAGTCGAATGGTTCCAGGCAGCTGTGACGTCCCACAATAAGCCTGAACATCTGTTTCTCTTATTTTTCCCTGGTTTATGTCCTTTCGGCTCCAGAACTCAAACGGTGGATGTGAGATACATGGACTCAGGATTACCGGTGATGCGACTGGTTAACGTCACGCCGGGCGAGGAGCTGTGTACAGACTGTTATCTTCGCCGTCCAATAAAAGACTAGAGCTCATGGATATATGGCCGTCCACACACTCTTACACATGTGTTCACCAGTATCAATATGTCTGTCTGCCACTTTTTAAAGGGAAAGTTCATCCAGATGATGACAGTTCTGCCATCATTTACTCACCCTCATGTCACTCCAAACATTCATGGCTTTTTCCCAAGGCAAGACACTACCGGTGAGGTCGGCGGGATATAAACATAGTCCTAAACTTATCCCTAAAATCAGTGGGAAATGATGAATAGTATGGAGCATCTTGTTGTGAGCCTAAACTTGATATTAACTGTAAATCTATCCCTCAAATCTGATTGGTTGATTGGAATGTTGATCCAGGAAAATGTTCCTGGAAATCACGTGGTGAATAGGGTAAAAGAATTAATTAGATAATATAAATCAGAAAATACTGTAAACAGAAAAAATCCCCATATTTTTAGGAATTAACTGTTATATAAAACAGGTTAATGATATATTGAACAAACCCTTCTGTAAAAACCTTCAGAATATAGATATTGATAAAACAGGAAAGTTTGCTTTGAGAAAACAGGTATTTATTATAATTGAAATCTACATATGCAAATAAATGTAATTACACAAACACTTAAATGTGTATTTTGGAGCTAAATCTGAAGAAAAATCTCAGTTGACCAGTGCATGAAAAAACAATGGTTCTGTCAGCAGTGTCTTTGTCTTAAGTGGAAGTGGCTCTTTTCCATACAGTGAAGTGATCAGTGGCCAGTCAAGCCCTCAAATGTGTCATTAAAGGAGTCCATATGACTTATACACTATTCCAAGTCTTCTGGATCCATACAATAGATTTACGTTTACTGACTGAAAAGTATTTGCTAAAAGCTCTCAAACTTCATGCATATGTATTTGAACGTGGACCATCAAGATTGCATAAAAGAGTGGCTCACACATTCTGCTAATCTTTTTTTCTGTTCCACGGAAGAAAGCAAGTTTTTAAACAACATGAGGATGGGTAAATAATGACAGAGTGTTTAATTGGTTAATTATTCTTTTAAAATCAAATTTTTTTCTGGAGCATGGCAGTATGAAATAGTGTTATTGAATCTAAAGGGATGTACATTTATAAGTATGTATATTTGTAGCTGGCATTATATATTTATACACAAATGATGATTTTTTGTTGTTGATGGAATCGGGTATTTTTCCCCTGCTATAACTCCACAGCGAACATAAGACAATGAAAGAAGTAACTTGTGTATGACAGCTTTTTTCCTTCTTTCCAGCAGTGAGTGCGTTTAATTGAAAATATAAGTTTTATTAAATATTTTGTTAATTCTTTACTATGAGCCCAGATGAACTTTAATGTAGAGCTGGACACTCGCTGATACGCTTTCTTTCTTTCGCTGATGTTGCATGGATGCTGCATTCTCTCAATGCAGAAGGTTCTCTATGCAATAAAAAAGAAAATGAATTTACAACACATGATCACTGCCTTTATACACTGTGAACTTTTTCTATGTTTTTCTATGTTGTACATTGCAAAAAAATAAAAAATAAAAATCCATCTGGGTGTCAAAACACCACAATTGACTTTCTTCCTTCCATCCATCCATCCATCCCTCCATCCATCCATCCCTCCATCCATCCATCCATCCATCCATCCATCCATCCATCCATCCCTCCATCCATCCATCCCTCCATCCCTCCATCCATCCATCCATCCATCCATCCATCCATCCATCCATCCATCCCTCCATCCATCCCTCCATCCATCCATCCATCCATCCATCCATCCCTCCATCCATCCATCCATCCATCCATCCATCCATCCATCCATCCATCCATCCATCCCTCCATCCATCCATCCATCCCTCCATCCATCCATCCATCCATCCATCCATCCATCCATCCATCCCTCCATCCATCCATCCATCCATCCATCGGGTGTGAATGGTAAAGGTGAATAACTCTGGTCATTAGTGGTCGTGTAGAGTTGATTACAGAGCGTCAGTGTTCTCTACGCCGTGTCCTCTTGGCCGAGTCTCCGCTTCAGTCCCTCTGATGAATGATGTCTGCGGTTCTAACAGTGGGTAAGTGATATGGCTTTTTAATGAGCTGTTTGCTGTTTGGAGGTTTTCCTCTCTAATGGGAGGAAAGCAAGCATTACCCAGCAGCTGGAGAGAGTTATCAGAGCAGACCTGTTGTGGCCTCCAGATACACCACTAATGAAAGCTGCTCTCACACACTCACACATGCAGCAGAGAGGAAAAACACAGTCAAATATAAAGAACAAAGTTTCATTATGTAAAATAAGCACCAAAACGCATTACGACATTTCACTTCTGAGTCTTTGACATGAAAACAAGAAGGAATACCAGCCATTTCTGAGCATGTTATGTAGAAATCAGCTGAGAAGGTCATGGGTGTGTTGATGATTGAACACAGCTGAGAAGTTTGGGAGCCACAGCGTCAACTTGACATGCGTGACACAAACACCATACTCACACGAACAAGAAACTTCTCAAGAACATCATGCGGATTCTAAGAAATGCTGATTATATTGCCAAAGTATTTCGATTTCTACAGATGTAATGAACTCGCTCCACACACACATAATGCTGGTGCGAGTAAAGATATCTTTTATAGTTTATGAAAGTCCCTGAAGGACATGTTCGGTGTGATTTCATCAGCGTCAGTGAGCAGACTGACAAAAACTGAGTAAAACACGTTGATGAATGAATAATCTCTGCGCAGACTATCTGACTCCTCACAGATTCAACAGACATAAAGACTCAGTAACATGCCTGATTATTTATGGATTCAGTTTATTCTGTGATATGTAGTTTGTGAAATGAGTAAACAGTAAATGTATGGTAGCCTATAAATTGCTTTATTACAGGGCCCATCAGAAGCGCTCCTTATCATTTATCATAACACATAAACACAAGGTGTGTGTGTGTGTGTGTGTGTGTTTTAGCTTCTAATCTTCAAAAGCACAAGAGCAAGCAGAGTGGATTTAGGCACTCCTAAATTACCTGACGCTGTCGTTGCTCAGTGTACCTGAATTCACCCATTGGTTAACTTATACCCAATAAATTAGCATATTAAACAGTAACAGTCATGTTAGCTGCACAGAACATTAGTTACATGATACGAGTGTTTAAAGATTCTGTAAAATCCTGTTTCTTAAAAATAACAGTATTTTGCAGGAATAATGCTTTGTCTAAATTCATTGTTGAATCTAAAATAATTCTTCATTTTATATAGGCCTACATAGCATATTTTATAAAATATATTTAGCCTATATTTTACATTGTATTCCTTCTGTAGTATAGAAATGACTTTTACACTGTAATAGAGCTTCTTTTTTTGTTGTCAAACTGTGATTAATGGGTTACATGTGTAGTTCATTAAACTCGTTATTAAATGACTGATATAGCATCATGGAAGGCATTTTAGCCAGACTATTATTTCACCATGTTGTTTAAATAATTTTAAGTGCCATTTTGAGACTTTGAATGAACTTTTTTTTTGTGTGTCTCAAATCAAGCCTTTCATTAACATGCATACAAGATTCCTATTTGAATATGTAACATAATTTGGAACCGCTCCTAATTGGAATCAGATCCTGGATATTCTGGAATTCCTTTTCCAGTATTGATGTTGTTTTCTTTCAAGCTCTGACAAGCGTCATCAGAGCCAGTAATACTGTCTCCTCCAGGTCCGGTGGGTGATGTGTGTAATACTGTCTCCTCCAGGTCCGGTGGGTGATGTGGAAATGAAATCATTCATGAGAGAGTCAAGGCTCTTTCCTCTCTCCGCATTACAAGCTCAACGCCGCCCTCTGCTGTCACACTCTTACATTCATTCATTCATGGCTTCTGACCTTCTTTTACTGTCTATGCTTCTGACATGTATGATTGATCGTTAGTTCTGGGAAGACAAGATGAAGGAAGAAGGAGAAACGGATGAGGAACTAGAAAATAGACTGTTTGCATTAGCTATATATTAACATGCATTTGTGAGTGAGAGAGAATTTATTACCATTTATAGTAGCCTATTTGATATTGCTGATAGTTAGGGTAGGCTACTAGATTTGAATTACCAATATTTCAATATCATAAAAATTAAAAAATAAAAATAAAAAATAAAATCACCTTTAAATCGACAGCTGGTAAAAAAGAATAAGTAATTTGGCTGAAGTGGTAATCATTTATTTTTTAACTATTTGAAAAGGAACTATTTGCAGTTTTAAAGCGTTAGTTCACCCCAAAATTAAAATTATGTCCTTAATTACTCATCCTCATGCCGTTCCAAACCCATAAACCTTTCGTTCATCTTCGGAACACAAATGATGAAACACTTTTTGATGAAATCTGAGCGATTTCTGTCCCTCTATTGACAGTCTATACGCAACTACCACTTTCAAGACCCAGAAAGGTAGTAAAGACATCATTAAAGTAATCCATGTGACTCCAGTGGTTATTTTACATTACTCTTCTCCCTCTTTGTCCTTGTCATCATTTCTGCACAACCATCTAGCAGTTTTATCATTGGCGGAGCATAACTGTAGAGTCAAATATTTCAGCGCATTTCAGTCAAATATAATTATGCAATACGTTACGGAGCCAATATTACGGGCCACTTGATGAAAAAATGGTGAGATACTTTCTCTCACAAAAGTATTCCGTTCCTCAGAAATTTTAAGCACTGAAACAGCCTCAGTGTACTGTTTTCTCCCA